ATGTCATAATTAAGAGCCATGAATAAACAACAATTTCAAATATGCTAAATCAATAATTTCATTCATTACAAGCTTGTCTATTCACGTTATAGAACTTGGAGCTATCATATGCATAACTGCATGTTTATACGACTAGAATCTTCCAGTTGTAAATCATAGTTCTTTATCTTATTAAATTTTATTCAATTCTCTCTTATTTCAGTTTTCAACCTCTTTATGTTGGTGTAAGGCTAATGTTGTTGATAACAGTTTCTTTAGATAAGTGAAAGTCTTTCCAACCTTTCAATGTTTTTTTTGCTTAACTTGCTTGGTTGATGAGAATGCTTAAAATTTGAGTTAATTATAAAACATGGTTAAATTTTGACATAAAATTGGAAATAGCCTCTCTAGATTCCTCTTTTTTTATTTACTTACCATGCAAACTTTGTGCGACTCATGATTTAGATTGCACCTTCTTTGTGAAGCGTATCACTCTACTGATTTGCTAATTGTTTACTTTTTTCACTTCTACAAAAAATAACATGTAGGTTGGCAATGATATATCTCAGTTTGTTGGCCCACTAATTTTGAATCTCCTTTTAAAGGTACAATTGCTTCTGATCTCAGTGAAGTTTATTTTGAGTCCATTTTTTTAGTCATTTCAATTTATCTGTTACATTCTGTTTTTAAAGTTCTAATAATAAATAACATGCTTATAGGCCTGGGGATGGCAAATTTCTCCTTTACTGCAGTGAAAATATTTATATTGATTATCATTTATCACAACCGGAACCTTTATTTTTTATGTTGGATTGCTTCTTCTGGTTTTTTAGCCCTACTGGGGCTTATTTTGGGTGTTATTTTACCAATTGTCTATTATAATTTATCACAACTGTTCCCTTTTTGCGCTTTTTTCTAATTCTTGGTTACTTACTATTTTCTCTGAATTTTCCTATTAAAGCTTTTGTGTTCCATGGGCTTGGTATGAGGGGTGGGTATGAGCACCTTTTTTATCAAATCCGTCTATCTGATAGCTAGAGTTTCTTTTCCTTTCATTAATTGCCAAATAGTAGTTGTAAAGTTTCTAATGATTCAGCTATTCAGTTTGTTTCTCATTATTTTCAAATGTGTTAGTTGTAATATTCTGATTCTCAATTGTCCAGTCGATGCAAGAAGGAGATCCAGTGTGGCATGGCTACGTCTATGCATTTTCAATATTTGCAGGAGTGGTATGAGCCTAAATATTTGGTTAATATTTTTTTGATGAGTGATTTGCTTTCATTATATTTTATTCGTAATATATTTGATTTTATACTCACTATTTTTTGTAGGATAGTTTAATACTTATTCCTGTATGGAGATCACATATGTAAGAACATGTGATATTGAGAAATATATAATTCATTATTCTCTGCTAATCACTTGAAATGTACTTTTTGAGCTGTAACCTGATTGCCTGAATAAAATCTTTCCAGTGGTCTTTTCATGTAGGAAGATTTACAGACCACTCAATTCTGATGTATTTACATATCTAACACCTAAGAATCAGTTTTTACATACATGCTACTTACATATGCATGAAAAGGTGTGTTTTACTTTTTATAAGTTAAAATAGAAACATTTTTTATGTGATATGAAGTATTTTGGTGGTAGAAATGTAAAAAAACAAAGTTTAGGTGTTAGAAAGGTAAATGCATAAGAATTGAATGGTATGTATGTAAACGTCCCTTTCATGTATTCACTGAAAACCACTTGAGCTTCTGATTTCAACCTCTTAACTGTTGGGAGTAGCTGAAAGTTATAAAGGTTTTTTTCCTGGTGATGAGAACCTCCTGTCTTGTACAACAAATCGTCATTCAAAACGGTGAATTTAAAAGTCCTCTCCATTGGTTTGACAACCGGCAGATAGCAAAATCAGCTACTCTAGGAACAAAGTATTTGGAGTGATATCAGAGTAAATCCAACTGTGAGTAAGAATAAATCCAACAAGGAGAGGAACGAGCCCAACAAATTGTAGAAATTTGTCCAACATTGAACATTAAATCATGATTTATCTGAACTGAGCCCGAATCCAGGCTAAACCATATGAATCAACTAATTATATTGAATTAAATTAATAGAGAAAACATCCTTTTCTCATCATTGTCATCATAGTATGCTCCAAATAGAAATTTAAGACTACAAAATAAACCAATTCTTGAATTTAGATAAACTTTACACTTTGCTTAAATCATGTCTTGATACAATGCTTCCGACATACATAAACACATAAATTTTCATCATGAACAAGTGAACTGATGCCATTTAATCCCACGCTGTCGTTTCATTATGCCTCTAGGGACTGCTTCTACTTTCACAATTCAAAGCGTTTGTTATTAATTTGACAACTTTAAATTATTTTCTTAAGCTTAATGTCCGACATTAGCTTTTTTATGTATTCATTATCTTTCTACTGTTCATTTCCTATTGTTTCGTCTAATGGCTCTGCCTGAAAGTTATCTTCTTCTGCAGACTTCTCATCTCCACAAAACTGGGATTATCATAATTAATCATGAAGTGATAATCCTATACTAGTCATTATTTATTCATCTTGCTGTGCAATATGTCTCATAACATGTACACAATACTTAGGAACCACATTGTTACCAAGCTATCTCATTTATACTAATTGTAACTAGCTTTGCAATTGTGAAACTATCATATTTGACACATGGACTTCATGTGGTGAGTTCTGATTAAATAAACCTTTTTCAGTTTAGCTCTCATCTTTCCTGTAAACCTGTGACTTAATGATGCAAGTTTGCTAAGCTTGTTTTTTGTACTTATTCTTGTTTGTTTGACCAGTCTTTAGGAGTGCTATCCGAAGCTCAGTACTTCCAAAATGTGATGCGTGTTGGCTTTCGATTAAGGTCTACCTTGGTATGCCTTTTTTTTTCTTGAGCTACTCTCAATTTTCTGGCTTATGTGCATCATTTTCTTTTAGTTGCAATTGTTTCTTGTTCTATATTACTGAAGAACTAAATACTGGGTTATTTTTATATCTTTTGACATTTGTTCAGCAGAAGAATCCTATAATTTTATTGCTCACATCTATTAATAAGACGGTATTGGCTTTCTATTAAGAGTACAATATCAAATAAAAAAAATAGGTAATGCTATATTAGAGAACTTGTGTGATTATTAGAAGCTAAATGGAGGATTTGGTCAGCGGAATGGCACTAAGGCCATTCTTAGTAAATCCTTATGTTAGTTTTGTTTTGGAGAATGAAATCTAGAAGTGTGACTGATTGAATCCTTTGAATCTCCATTACTTGTTAAGTTTATGGTCAGGATGGTGGAAATCTCAGCCATCAACGTTGATTGCTTTTGATCAATAGACAAATCTGATAGTTCATATTCTGCTTCTGTAACACGTTATCATCCTGCAATAATTGATAAAAACTGAACTTTTTTGCTCTCCATTCAGTTATCACTTCTAAGGAAACTGTAATTCAACTAGGACATTAAGGGCTTATTTGAGATCAATTTTAATTTTTCTTATGTTTTTTTGAACTCTATCATTGGCGGGTCCCAAGCCCCGGGTGTGAAAGTGAAAGGTTGCGTTAGATAGTCGCTAGCGTAAAATTTGTCGAAAATCATGATATGAATCTTTTTAATTATTGTTAAGGTGTCTTCTTGAAGCGACGTATTGTATGACCTGAATACAACGAAAAATGTGAAAAGTTTCCACATTACGGACGGATTCGGGTAAAAACTTAGGCCATGAAACTAATATTATGATAGAATCTTGGAATATAGGTACTCTCACAGACAAATTAATGGAATTAGTTGATATTTTAATTCATAGAAAAATTAATATTTTATGTATTCAAAAAACTAAATGGGTTGGAGGAAAAACTAAGAAAATTGATAGCTTAAGTTTTAAACTTTGGTATTCAGGTAAAAGTCGCACTAGAAATGATTTATGTGTAATTATAGATGATAGTTTGAAATATAATGTTGTAAAAACTAATAGAATTGGAAATATAATTGTAGCCCTTAAAATTGTTGTTGATACTAAGATTTTTAATATTATAAATGTTTATGCTCGTCAAGTAGGTTTAGATATTGGTTCCAAAGAAAAATTCTGGAACGATCTACAAAAATTAATACAAATGATACCTCTTATAGAAAGAATTTTTATTGTAGGACATTTAAATAGACATGTCGATTGAGTGGTAGAAGATCTTAGAAATTTTCATCGTGGCTACGGTTTTTGAGTGTTTAATGAAGAAGGTAGAGCCATATTAAATTTTGCTTTAGCTTATTTTTTTGTTATTGCTAATACTTTATTTAAGAAAAGATATAGAACATATTATTGCTTATAAGAATGGATTTAATAAAACACAAATTGAAGAAGAGATCGTCAAGAATGTAAATATTGTAAGGTCATTCCTACTCAGAATTTAAATACTAAACATCGATTATTAGTTATGGATTTTAAGATAGAGTTATAAAATAAAGAATACTAGGAAGCATTGCCTTAGAATTACATGGGGGTACCTTAATGACACAAATAAAATTATTTTTATGAGTAAACTTCAAGATTTCAAGATTTGAAATGTTCATGAAGAAGCAAATTCTATGTGAGATAAAATAATAAATACTATTAAATAAATGACAAAATATGTGCTTGAAGACTCAAAATGAAAAGTTTTTATAAATAAAAATAGTTGGTGGTAGAATAAAAATGTGCAAGAAAAAATAAAACATAAGAAACTATATTATAAAAAATTGGTTTAAATGTCTTAGAAAACTGAGAAAAATATATCCGTGGGCAGTCTAAGAGAACAATCTATGACGCTAAAATATCTGTTTTAGTGATCTTTATTATAAATTAGATACTAAAGAGGGTGAAAAATATATGTATAAACTAGCGAAATTAAGAGAAAAGAAAAGTAAAGGTTTAACTTAAGTAAATTGTATTAAAGATAAAAATCAAGAAGTGCTTTTCTTAGAAAAAGATATTCAACATAGGTGGTTGGGTTATTTTGATAAACTTTTCAATTAAGTTTCTGAAAAAACGATCGACTTTAGTGATCTTAATGTCGTTAATAATAATAAAATATTACATTGTTATCGTCACATTAGTAAAAAAATAGTTGAAGAGCTTTTAAAGAAAACCAAGGGTGAAAAGCTTGTAGGACCTGATGATATCTCAATTGAAGTGTGAAAATATTAAGGAGATTCGACAATTTCTTGGCTTATTAAATTCTTTAATATTATTTTAAAAATTAAGAAGATGTATGAGGGGTGAAGGAAGAGTATTTTGGTGTCCATTTTTAAGAATAAAGGTGACGCACAAGATTGTACAAATTATAGAGGAATTAAGTTGATGTGTCATACTATAAAATTATGTGAGAGGGTATTGAATATAGGCTAAGACGTATTACAAAGATTTCTCATAAGCAGTTTGGATTTATGTCGGGCAGGTCAACTATGGAAGCTATACATTTATTGAGAGGTTTGATGGAGAAGTACAGAGAGAATAAGGAGGATATACATATAATTTTTATTGATTTAGAAAAAAAATTATAATAAGGTTCTAAGAGATACCTTTTGGGGAGTTATAGGAAGAAAAGTGTTTATATTACTTATATTCAAGTCATTAAAGATATGTATACTAGAGGTGTTACTTATTTTCTAACAAAAGGATGATTGACCAAATATTTTCTTATTTTAGCTGGATTACATCATGGATTGGCTTTAAGCCCATAACTTTTTGCTTTAGTTATGGATGCTTTTATTGGACTTTTACAGGAGGATGTACCTGGTGTATGCTTTTCGTCGGTGATATCCTTCTTGTGGATAAGACTAGAGAAAGAGTTTAGGAAAAACTTAAATTATGGAGGTCTACGTTAGAGTCTAAAGGCTTTCGTTTGAGTAGAATTAAAACTAAGTACATGGAATATAATTTTAGTGGTAGTAGCCCTAGTGGCAGAGTTGCAACTATGGGTAATCAAATCATTAAAAGGTGTGAACATTTTAGATATCTCGGGTCTCTTGTTCAAAGTGATGGTTATATAGATGGGGATGTAATTAGTAGAATTCAAGTTGGTTGGTTGAAATGGAGGAATGCATCCGACATATTGTGTGATAGAAAATACTGCTTTTACTGAAAGGAAAATTTTATAAGATGGTGGTGAGACCTGCAATGTTCTATGGTGCCGAATGTTGGCTTTTAAAAGACAAGCACAAAATTAAGTGTTGCCGAGATGAGAATGCTTAGGTGGATGAGTGGCTTTACACTTTGAGACAAAATACAAAATGAATATATCCGTGATAGGGTTGGTGTACTTCCTGCGACTGACAAAATTAGAGAGAGTCGTCTTGGATGGTTTGGTCACATTAAACATAGACCATCTGATGATCTGGTTAGGAGAGTAGATGTTTTAGATTCAACTTATGTTAAGAAAGGCAGAGGTAGACCTAGAAAGACTTGGGCATATTGTATAAAAAATGATTTTAATTTATTAGAATTAAATGAAAATATGACATTGAATAGGACGCGATGGAGAGAAAAGATTCATGTAGCCGACCCCACTTAATGTGATAAATGCTTGTTGTTGTTGTTGTTGTTATGTTTTTATTAACATGCTTGTTTACTATGTTTTTTACGTGTTTTTATTTTTTGCTTTGAAAAACAAATAAAAATGTTTTTGAAAAACACTCAAAATAGATTTTAAGTATTTTTAGTATTTTTAAACATAATGATATCTTAATTAAATATTTTAAATATGTTTTGTTTCAAATCAAAACATAAACAAAATAAAATAATAATAATAAATAAAAATGATCTCAAATGTTCCTAGGATATTGAAAGACTTTTTTTTCTATCATAATTTAGCGATCACTTCAATACAGCACCATTCTAATACGTGCATTACTGATATTAGTTTCTCTTACAGGATGTTTCCTAGTAGGTGAGTGTTGTAAAATGAGAACTTCTATCGTTGTTGTTTTTGTGGTTTATGGTTTTTTATTTCGTCCTCCTAATTTGTTTAGCTTATTGCATTGATCTTAAAGCATCTTAGAAACGCTGCTACTTATGTGATTTAACTAATAGCACTTCATACATTTTTTAAATTTTGCTGTAGTCAATAACTAAATCTTCACCATTATGATATTAACAATGATGGCTGAGATAATCTTAACTATGAGTGTTATTTCAGGTAGCTGCGGTATTTCGTAAATCTTTGAGACTAACGCATGAAGGTCGAAAAAAGTTCGCATCCGGAAAAATAACTAACTTGATGACGACTGATGCAGAATCACTTCAGGTAGTTAACTAATGACATTGTTGCTTGTTAAGGTTAGATCTGAAAAAAATCAACGTTTTGTTTTGAACATTCCCATAACCTTAATACCTTTTAGTGGCTACATTGCAAAAAAAAAAAGGTTGTTAATTTGAGTTTTTATCTATTTTAGCATATCAGCTTTTTAAGAGATGAAAAATAATCTTTATGCTACTAAGTATATCTAAATTTCTTACAGCAAATCTGTCAGCAGCTTCATAGTTTATGGTCAGCACCATTTCGCATCGTTATATCCATTGTGCTTCTTTACAGTCAACTAGGTGTTGGTGCACTTGTGGGATCGATAATTCTGGTTCTTATGTTCCCCTTTCAGGTAAAGATTTTTGTTTTTTTGGTATTAATATAACTTTGTTTTCTATTTTTTTCATTGATCAAACTTGGATTTTCTACCCAATGGATTTGGTTTTCAACAACATTTTATGGTTTGGGTTTCTTTAGATATAGTATTCAGAAGGGGATTAATTAAATTTCTTTAGATATACGTGGATTCATTAAATATAGATTCAGAGTAAGGCATCATTTATTCAAATTCAGACCTTTGCTGAGATTCTAAATGCTGGCTATTCACCTGGTTATGCTTAGACGATATTCTTTTTCATTGTTATCATAATGCATGCTAGACTGATTTGCTTTGAAGCATGAAAATGAGTACGATGACATTGACACAACACGACATACTCAATGAAGCACATGCACTTTTGAATGGTGCACATGTTTATTGGATACGGACAATGTTTGAGGCATCCCAACATGTCCAATACAACGTAAATCATGTCAAGAATTTTTTATTATAATAAATTTGGGCTACGACACTTATGGGACATGGTAGAACATGCCAAGGGCACAATAGCGAGACAAGATGGGGCACAGTTCATCGCTAAAATCACGGGGATAGAATCGATACATTTCATTTCTCCTCGTGTCGATAAGCAGACGCTAGACGATGTTGAAGACAATGAAATTGACTAGACTCATACACACACAACACACAATACACAACTTATTTTCAAGCTTGGATCGGAGTGTTTTGAAGTTGGGATCGTTTGAATCTGTGATACAAAGAAGCTTAAGGTATAAGGGTTAAAAGACGTTCCATCTTACCTAGCTTTGACATACCTGTGCATTTCACCCTCTTGCTTTGAAGCCGATTGCATATAGTCTTTGAGCCAGGCTCTTTCATGTATAGAATATCTTTCTTATTCTCAATAATAAGTTAAATCACTCCGCTCCTTTGATTCTGCCATGATAATATATCATTTTGCTCAATTGAGTTAGTTCATTTGGCCTTTATGAAATTCATCGCATGAATAACCTTTTATGGATGACATTCGATTGTTTCTCCTTTGAATTTGTTCCTATCTTGAATTTCTATTGAAGTTTCATTTATATCTAAAACTTATTATATACTATTTAATTGTATTATATGTCATGTTATTATGGAATCTTGCGCTAAACAAAGTGATATGCATGTGTCATTGCTGCGTTAAAAACTTATAGTTGCATCCATGTGTTAGAAATGTTCCATCGCACATTAAAAAGAAAATGTTTTCATCATCTAAATGTGATAGTTGATTATCAAATTTAACAATTAAATGTGCTTGAAAAACTTTATTTTGACTTGATTAGAGGGCTTCAATCAATTGATGTCATGTGTGTGAAACTCATAATTGAATCTACTTGGATAATTGATGCATAATTTAGTAAAATTTTTGCCTATATCAAATGAGAGGAATAAATGCTTGAAACAAATCTTTTTAACTATTGAAATAATAGTTAGTTTGGACTTCACCTTTTTTTTTGGGGATTCATTAGTGCTTTTGTTGATCATGACTTTATAGCAATTAATGGCTCTATCGATGAAAAGTCTCGATCGATGATTTATGAAGCTAGTTTCTCGTTATTGCAAAGTTAGCTTTTAAATTGTTGCCTCAATCATGTTTATTTTCTTGATACAAAAGAAATTGGAGTACATATTTTTTTTATTAATTCATTTAAGATGAATAAAATCATTCCTAAATATTGTGAAGATATATATCAATTTCTTATTTTATTTAGGGGCTAAACTATGGGATATTGGTGAAACTATACGTTCGCTCCACAAATTTGTGCTCTTGTTTCCTCTGAAACAATTAGAAAGTTGTACTTGAGGTTCCATATCAATTTTTTAGAAGGCACGTGAGACAGTAAATAAGATATCTTCCAGATAATTTACTCTCATTTCGCAAAGATTTTCTAGATTTGTGATTTGAGTTTTTTTCCTATCAATGACGGAAGAGTACTTTCAATTAAAGCTTGTCATTGTTGTATTGACTTTTCAATGTCGTGCAACAACAAATTAATTTTTTTTATTTTATAAAAAATTATAATTATGGGCTTAAAGCAAATGGTGGGAGGACTTATGACAAACCTGATCAAGATTTCATAATTCTATCAACTTGAGTAGGCATAGTTCTTAGTTTACTTAATTAGGGAGATATTTGACCCAACCTGATAAAAATATCATTTTTGGCAATCATGGGTTGTTTCGTTTAAGAGAATTTTACAGACTTGATGTGAATATTTATCTAAGGGGATAAATTCAAAACAACCTTTGCTAACAAAGATCTTTGTGCTCTATTAGGTCTCTCATGTGATTCACAACTCAAAAAGACAGAAAGCTATTGAGGAGCATATATGCTGCTGTCGTGACTATAACATAGTGGAGCATGTCTTGCCAAACCGCGTGGTTGGAGGGCTTTGGTCATAGCTGCTTTTTTTATTGAGTCGACTGACCAAACCAGAACATCTTGAGCTGTCGCGGACCTTGGTTACCCTTGTAGAGGATGGATAATGATTGCTCTTATTTTTTAGGTGTTGTATGTCATTTAAAATTTTTTATAGCTTAAATTTTGATTTTAGAGATATGCTCCTTTGTTTGAGATTCACTTTTAACATGATCATTATCATAGATTATTATTTGCATCATTCATAATTGTAGTTTTAATTGAAAATCACACTGAATATTATTAAGGCATCCATCATGTCAACTCTTATTATTGTAAAGAGTATCATAGTAGCTCAGTTGGGAAAGATATACATGTAGGGTGTCTAAGAGAACTAACAGTGAGACTAAAAATTCTGCATTTAGCGATCTTTATAATAGATTAGATATCAAATAGGGTGAAAAATTTTTGTGTAAACTAGCCAAACAAAGAGAAAAGAAAAATAAAGATTTAACTAAGTAAATTGTATTAAAGAAAAAAGTACTTTTCTTTGAAAATAAAAAAGTACTTTTCTTAGAAAAAGATATTTAACATATGCTGGTGAGTTATTTTGATAAACTTTGTAATGAAGTTTCTGAAAATATGATCGATCTTAGTGATCTTCATATCGTTAATAATAATAAGATGTTTTATTTTTATTGTCGCAATAGTAAAATAGAAGTTGAAGAGGCTTTAAAGAAAACCAAGGGTGGAAAGTCTGTAGCCTAATAATATCTCAATTGAAGTGTGAAAATGTATAGGAGATTTAAAAGTTTCTTGGCTTAATCAGGCAGGTCTACCATGGAAGCTATACATTTATTGAGAGGATTGATGGAGAAGTTCAGAGAGAGTAATGAGGATCTATATATGATTTTTATTGATTTAGAAAAAGCTTAAGATAAGATTCTAAGAGATATACTTTAGAGAGTTCTAGAGAAGAATTGTGTTAATATGACTTATATTCAAGTCATTAAAGATATGTATACTAGAGTTATTACTTGTGTTCAAACAGAAGGTGCTTGACCAAATATTTTACTATTTCAGTTGGATTACATCAGGGATCGACTTTATGCCCTTGTTGTTTTGCTTTAGTTATGGATGCTCTTACTGGACATTTATAGGAGGATGTACCTTGGTATATGTTTTTCGCTGATGCGCTGATGATATCCTTCTTTCGCTGATGATATCCTTCTTGTGGATAAGACTAGAGAAAAAACTCAGGAAAAACTTGAATTATGGAGGCCTACATTGAAGTCTAAAGGCCTTCGTTTGAGTAGAACTAAAACTGAATACATGAAGTGTAATTTTAGTAGCAGTAACTCTAGTGACAATAACTATGGGTGATCAAATTATTAAAAGGTGTGAACGTTTTAAATATCTCGAGTCTATCGTTTAAAAAGATGGTGATATAGATGGGAATTTTATTACTAGAATTCAAGTTGGTTGATTGAAGTGGAGGAATACTTCGGGCCTATTGTGTGATGGAAAAGTATCGCTTTGACTGAAAGGAAAATTTTATAAATGGGTGGCGAGACCTGAAATGCTCTATGGCGTTGAATGTTGGCCTTTAAAAGAGAAGCATAAAACAAAGTTAAGTGTTGCCGAGATGAGAATGCTTAGGTGGATGAGTGGCTTTACACTTAAGAGACAAAATGCGAAATGATTGTATCCGTGATAGGGTTGGTGTAGCTCCAGTGGCAGACAAAATTAGATTATCTTCTTAAATGGTTTGGTCACTTTAAACATCGACCATCTAATGATCCGATTATCATAGTAGATGTTTTAGATTCGACTTATGTTAAAAAAGGCAGAGGTAGATCTAGAAAAACTTGGGCATATTATATAAAAAAATGATATTAATTTAGTGGAATTAAATTAAAATATAACACTCATATTGACCTCATGTTCAGTGAGGTCTTAGTCTCCTACTCTTAGAACTTAGGATTTAGCTTTAGAAGTTCTTTATTGACCATCATAGCAGACTAGTAATAGAGCCGACCTCCCATATAACTTTGAACTACTTTTTTGACTCATTTTTGTGCAGACCTCGCATGAGTAGTCCCAAGCACTTAACTCTTAGTTGCAAGGGCTAAGAACTAACACATAGAGGGCCCGAAAATGAGTTCCTACAGGATCAGACGACCATATGTGAACCCTTTATGATTCGAACATTTTTGAACGCCGCATTTCACACACTCACTGCACCACACACGATGTTGACTTGAATTGATCAAGACAAGCTCGAATGACGAAACAAACTGCGTCAGCTCGTCTGGAATGTTGACGTTAGCTAAAAAGGGCACATATATTGCTATGATTTTACGCACGAGCAATTAACATGAAAATCGATGCTTGCTTTTTTAATTAGCGGGACGCGGGCCCAGGCTCAACCCATGTTCAACTCGGGTTTGATTTGGGCTGAACACAAGCTAAAATAGTTTCAGATTTCAAAATTTCAAAATTTAAATGGGCTATTTAATCTCATCTTAATTGAGAGTTAAGACTTTGCAATTAAGCTGGTTGCATCAACAAAATTCATTCAATTCCCCGCCAATGTGTCGCATGACGTCTC